AGTTTGCTTTGCAAATTAAGGTATAGTCAGTAAATACAGTCAAGTTATCTTGATTCATATTTATTTAATATTTATTTTGGAATAGATGTATTGGCCAATTTTATTATGATTTGACATGTAAAAAAACACAGCAGAATGTTATTTTAATCTCAATCCACTTTTGAAATTACTTTTTCACTTTTCAAAACAAAGCAATTCATGCCTCGTTTAATATTGAGCCATTATCCACTGCTGGATGAAAGCTTCCCTGCAAAGTCACCATCGCTGGTGGGTTCCCTTAATTTTGTACTAAATCCGATGTGTGTGATGTTCAGAAACGGGTCAGTTGTTGGATAAAGGACAGCAGTGTTTGAGAGAGAGATTAGACAAAGCTTGGTTTGCAGACAAGGATAACAGGAAATGTTTCTTAATCCAAAATAATCTGAATTCACAACAGATTATGGGAAGCTTTCTCGCGAGCTGGCTTGATCTCTTTTGGACATCAGTGATATAATCATTCTCTGCCTTGGATACATAACCATGCATAAACAGCGTGAAGATGAGCCCAGGATTGAGGTCAGTCCATTATTGAACAAATTAGTTGGTGATGCTGCTGTATTGGCAGTGGTGCACGAGCACTCATAAATAATTCTGTGGCCTTAAAAGGATATTTATATAAGTGACGTTTCAGGCAATGGTCCTTCTTCATGGCATATAAAATAATAAAAGAGGGCCCTTGCCCAAAACGTCACCTCCATTATATTTAACTGCTAAGGCTGCAGCAGGATTGATACGTATTCAAAGTTATTTCCATTATTTATCAGAAACCAACTGCTTGGAATTACCTCCGGCACACAGTGATACAATGACTTCCTGAGATATGTTAATGAGCCGTGGAGGCGAGATGTTAACTCCCTTGCCTGGTATGAAGGAGGTCGTGGTTTCGATCCCAACCCTGACACTCCTGGTATGAAGGATGTCGTGGTTTCGATCCCAACCCTGACACCTGTATACAGTATTTGGAGTTTTCATGTTCTCACCGTGGATTTTTCTCCGGGTCCTCCGAGTTTTCCCTCCACATTTAGAATCAACGTGCGTTTAAAGAATTTGGCTGGCTTAAATTTCCACGTGACAAGCCACTTTGTTAAGCTGTCATTTGTGGCCAGGTCGCTTCTGAAAAAGAGCTGTATAGCTCAGTGGGCCTTATCGGGTAAATTAAAAAGAGTATTTTTGTATTTACTCTCCTCCTCCTTAAAGCAGCCGGAGAAGGAAGATGTGCCAGCTGAAGGAACTGTATGCAAAAGCCGAGGGACCCGTGGCGTTTTCACTATGACAAGCTCACGGGTTATGCCGCTCTAATTAGTGTGTGCGCTTGTGAGGAAATTCGCTTTCCGAGATACAATGCAAATAGGGTAGGTTTGCACGTCGGATAGATCTCTTCTCCTCCACCACCTTAAACGTCATTGTGTTTACTCAGAGACATGCCCTTCCGCGGATGAGAACTAATGCATTTTTATTGAGATAATATATTTTGATATCACTGTAGTGCTCCCTCAACTGTGCAATAACCGTCCCCGTTTTATATTACATTGATCCCATCTGAAGCACAACAATGAATTAAGTGGTAGCCTCTACAGCAATGTGGTACACATTCCAGTCCTATTCTGGCATTCCAGAGGCAAGGACGCGCACACACACACACGCGCGCACACACGCGCACGTCTAACAACGAACGTCCAAAGAGCCATCGTGACAGTAAACTCTCACCCGACTGCCACTGCGGCAGAGGGAATAGAACGATAATCCTCGTAACATAGCGCCTAGCAGTTTTAACCTGGAATCAATCACACGATGGCTGAACCAGCAGGAGGTTTGCCTGCATTCTGCGGACAACCTGTCTGCTTATTGAGGATTTCAGGATTCCCTCGTAATGCCCCGGGCAGAGACAGCGAAACGAAAGCGGCCTCGGTAGCACAAACTAAAAAAGAACATTGCAACGGTATAAGGTTGCTCAGCTTATGCCACGTGCCAGACAAGGCTACAGGAATAACATTCCCGGTAGGGGTTTTCTTAAGTTTCTATCATGGGCAGAGTTACTTACCCCCACCCGCAAACCCAACCCCCAGCCCGCACCCCCATCTCTCTAGCGGAGCAGTGGTTTGTAGGGCACCTCTCTCCACTGCTAGGGTGTCTCAGAGTAGTCAATCGATTCCGTTTGCATTCGTTGCTCAGGGTCAAGTTTGCCGCAGCCGCCACCTCGCCCGAACCCAGCTGTGGCTGCTTGGAGCGAGGGGAGCCCCACGGGGGTTCTCTGCACTCTCCACGCTCTGCGGCCGAGGCGCGCCTGTGCATATTCGTAGTGTGCGGGATCTGTTGTACGGGCAGCCGCCGACTCACCGCCACCAGCAGCAGCAGCAGCAGCCGCCGCCGCCACTCGGCCTCAAGAGGCGACTCGCGGCCGAGAGGCGGCGTGGGGGTCGCGTTGCGGCGTGAAGCGGCAACGCCGGCGTTTTAGTGTTACCCGACGCGGGCTCCGTTGGCTCTCGTCCAAAGCCGAATGTCAAAATATTTAATTACTCGTGCACTGCAGGTTAACACCACCCCCCTCCTCCTCCTCCTCCAACCCCGTGTTTAAACAAGACACGGACACGAACGCATTTTGCGCGTGTGCCCAAAACGGGAACGGCATTTCGCTCGACTAAACGTGTTTTGGGGATGCACGTGATCGACATTTACCTCGAGTTTGATCAATTGTCGCTGCGCTGGAGCGGTCAACATCAAAGGGGAGAGACAACTCGACGGCAGAACGCAGAAGTCCGGCACCGAGCGGCACCGTGCGCGACTGGGAAATCGGTGGCGCCGCGAACACCGTGGGAATCACAACAGCCTTGAATTAAAAAACCACGAGGCGCTTGCGAACAACACACACACACAAAACAATTGCGAACAACACACACACACAAAACAATTGCGAACACACAAAACAATTGCGAACACACACACAAAACAATTGCGAACACACACACAAAACAATTGTGAACAACACACACACAAAACAATTGCGAGCAACACACACACACACAATTGCGAGCAACACACACACAATTGCGAGCAACACACAAAACAATTGCGAACACACACACAAAACAATTGCGAACACACACAAAACAATTGTGAACAACACACACACAAAACAATTGCGAACAACACACACACACACAAAACAATTGCGAACAACACACACACACAAAACAATTGCGAACACACACACAAAACAATTGCGAACACACACACAAAACAATTGCGAACCACACACACACAAAACAATTGTGAACAACACACACACACAAAACAATTGCGAACACACAAACAGTTGTGAACAACACACGCACACAAAACAATTGCGTGGTTTTGGCGGCGGTCACGGTTTGGTGTGGGGGGGGGGTTGACGAGGTGTGACGATGGGGAACGGCAGACGAATTTAATATGCGGGACGTGCCTTTTAGATGCGGCCAAAACGCGTCGAGGGAGAGAGCCACGTTTACTGGAAACCAAATTTGGGGGGGGGGGGGGGGGGGGGAGAGAGACCGAAGCAGCCCGCAGTTGCCGTTATCGTCGGTCTCGCATGGCGGGGGTGTGCGGCACTTCAAAAATGGGTTTTTGTTTTTTTTGTTACGGGACGCACAGCCACCGAACGTCTCCCGCCAGATCAATGGGCGTCCCCTCCGCCGTCTGCGCAAAGCGGCGATGCGGAGAGACGAGAAACGTCGCCGCAGCCGCCGAGTGGCGAGGTGAAGACAAAGTGACGGCGGTCGAGGGGATATAGAAGGGCGCGTCAACCACGCACGGACGCCTCGATTTAGCGTGGGCAGGAGTTGTTTTTGTTGTTGTTGTTGTTGCGACGAACGGAAATTTGGGCGATGGAACCTGGACGCGCTGGATCACGCGAGAGAGACTTTCGGGACGGTGCCGTCGGCGACAAAAGCCGACGCTGGGATAAGGATTGGCGCGAGCGTTCGCCGCTTTGATACGCAGGCAACGGGGAGAATAGGCCCACCCCCCCCATCCCTTTTGTAACGATGAAGGCATCAAGATTGAAGATAAGTGGGAATTCTGCCTACTCCAACAGAGGGAAGCGTGGAATGACACGCGGGAACCTTTACGTCCCAGAAGCTTTGGAGAAATAATAAGTAATATTTAAAAATACTTTTTAAAAAAACACGCTTTAATGAAATGTACCCTACTCGTAATGGCAGAACTCCACAACTCCAGGAAGTGGCCGAAATAAAAGCGTGTAATAATAAAAAGTAAACCCTTATTGATGCCAGAGGTAGTTTCTATACATGCACACACGAGGTTGCAGAAAGGTCACCATTTTCAGATGCTATACTGTACTTTACCATTAGAATGCTATTGTTTACAGCCCCTTATTGGAATATACTGCTAGATGAAGGACTCCCCATGCTGTTGGGCGCGGGGGGACGGGAGAGGGTGTTTAATCCTCCTTCCTTTACACCGGTGCGTGTGGGTCGGCGAAAGGAAGGGGGCCACGACCAGTCAGAGTTATCGCTCGGCTACTGACATTAGCCGAAGCTGCCAACTATACTCGGGTTGTCGGCTCAACGGCGCAGTGTGCTGATCACTGCGTCGTCGCTTCCCCCACCCAGCATCGTTTCGTTATGAACCCTGAATTCAAACGAGGACACAGGTACACGATGGGCGTCAATTGTGCCCGAGAAAAGTGCATCGATGGCGATACTGAAGGGTTGCCCTGCTTTCAAAGTAAATATCCTGGACATGAGAAAACACAGAGGAGCATCAAAACACTAAACAAGGTGTTTAAAACGTATGCAAACCTTGCTTTTAAACGAGTTAATTTCTTGTAAATGGTTACAGTACGAGCAGAAAGCAACTATTCATTATTTAAAAATAAAATTATTTAAAATTGGTATGGGTATGTACATTTTCCTATATTACATATGCCCCAACGGTTGAAAAAACAAAAAAACCGAAACATATCGTCAAGATCAAGATTTATTCAATATTTACATTTTATACACAAAAGCAATCCATAAAATACGACACGACACACACTCTTGATTTTACAAGTTAGTGAACCTACGGGCGCCCGACGGCTGCTTTTGTTCCCCCCCCCCCCACCAAGACAGGTTTACCAATTCACGAGAAAGTCGGTAACATTTAGAGACTGTTTGTTCAGTGCAACATCATAAGTAAGAGAGCATAGTTTGACAGTTATATAAAAACGAGAGACGTTTTACTGCTCTTTCGGCAGGGGGGCTGCTTGACCACTGCAGTAGACCACCCTCGAGTGATTTTTTCGCTATAAAACACCCGCGCGGCGTCATCTCTTTCATTTCGGCTCAAAACGTGTCCATCGGCTTGTGTAGTTTCTTAAACGAATTCACCCAACAGCAATTCCTGCCCGCGCCCACCGCCGCCGCCGCCGCCCTCCGCTGAGATATGTGCACCGTTGTTGATTCAGAGGCTCAGATTTCACAAAGGCAATTTGTATACGCACGTGCATACGTGCGCGCGCTCACACACACTCCGCGTTTTCCAAAAAACGTCGTCACGTACACGCGCGATTCAATAAATGACTTCGTACAGGGTAGCCTTCTTGTCCCCGGAACCAGTGACTATGTACTTGTCATCCACCGAGATGTCACAGCTCAGAACGGACGATGTCTCCTTGGACTGCAAAATGGGAAATCAAGACGTTTGTAAAAGCACTCGCAGCCTCTCGCTTTAACATTATTTTGTCCGCGCAATCATTTTTTCGCGCATAAAAAAAAATACAACCACCAACAGGAACAAATTTTAACCGAAACGCCATTCCTGCAAACTTTGCAAAAAAACCACTCGACAACACCTACCTGGAATATGCTTGCCCCGTAGGGTGTTCTCCAGGCATTCAGCAGGTAATCTTTACCGGTGCTCACAAACCATTTGCCTGTAAAGCGACACGCACGAACAACCATTAACAACGTGGTCTTTCATCACGGTCGTCGTTTTCGTGACGCGCCACGTGACACATAATAAATCACAGCGACCGCAAAATCGAAACCCCATTTCTCGCTCACCGCAGTGGGCGAACTTGAGCGAGAGGACGCAGCTCTCGTGCAGGTGCAGCTGGTACTTGTCGGGCTTGCTGTGGTGCAGCACCTCCACGTTGCTGCTCTCCATGCCCACGGCCAGCCACTCCCCCGTCGGGCAGTAGCCCAGCGAGAAGATCTACCGAGGGCGAGGAGAGACATTCATTCACACCGCGCGTCATCGGCCTGCGTTCTTGGCCCGGCTTCGTGGCCGGCGTTCGAGCTGTCGGCGCTGGGTGTGGTTTTTCAACCAGAAGTGATGTTTGTCAAAAGGTGAGTGGAAGGTAGCATAGGCACGGTCAATTGATTTGTGGCCAAACGTTTTGCTTTCCAAATGACACAGAATCCAACTGTTGTGAAAATTAGACAACAGATTGGGCTTCGTCAGGGAATAAGGTGGGGAGCTGATGGGGGTGAGGGGGGGGGGGCTTAGATAAACTAAATATCTATAAAACTCTGAGGCAAGACAGGGCAAGAAGAAGAGGGTGCAGGCAGCACACCTGCGAGGTGAAGTCGTGCTGCTGCAGCTGCCTGCCCTCCCGCAGGTCCCACGACCTCACGGTGTTGTCCAGGCCTCCCGTCCACAGCTTCGTGCCATCGTGGGAAATGTCGATGCAGCTCGCGCCGTCCGTGTGTCCCTGGAACTGCCTGTGGGACGAGTCGAACCCAGGGCACGCACGCTTTATGAAGCCGCCGGCTCTGGCGCGCGGCGTGGCGCGGCAATTCGTGTCTGCTGGTGCCTGCTGGAAGCGGCTGGCGACGGACCTGACGAGCGTCTGGTTGTGCAGGTCCCACACGGCGATGTTGCCGTCGCTGCAGCAGGAGAAGCACACCTTGGAGTCGGGACTGATGGCGAGCGCGTAGCACGCGGGCGCCGACGACGTGAGCTCCGCCTTGATGCGCGGGGTCGGAGCCGCCAGGTCCCAGATGGAGATGGTGCTCGCCTCGCCGCCCACGATCAGCGTGCGCCCGTCCGGCAGCAGCTTGCACGACCGGATGTAATTGTCCCGATTCTTAACAAGAACGACAACAAAATTTTACTGAAAATTCTTAAAATACTGGATGAGAGTACACACTTCAAACATCCGTCATGTTGTACACGCACACATTGCGCAACTCTGCTTCAGCGTTGTGTATACCAAAACAAAGTGCGTGTACACGAGACGTGTACCACCTTGTGGGCGAAGTCAAGTGCGGTTAATTCCATAGATAAACTTGTCCACACCATAAGAATGCGTAACTTTCCACCAATGACTCAGGGCCACAAGAAGGAGATGAGCACCGTCTGAATTCTTATGTGAGTAGGCAATCACTTTGACTGAAATAAACGAAAAACCATCGCGGTAACCATGGCAACTCGGGAGCATCCCTGATGTCACGACAAGGCAGTCAAATTGTATACTCCAAAATAAACAAGCAGACAACGCATCTCCTACATACGTTACTCCACCGCATGAAAAATATACAAGTGTTATTTTACACTACCCCTCAACCACAATGCATTCTGTGGAGTGCACAATTTCAGCAACATTGCTTCAATGCAAGCAAACGCGAGTTTCGCCACACAGCGTCTCATCATCAGCAACCAGACTTCCTTGAGAAGCAACGCTGGTGAACTGCCACATGTTAAGCGGCAAGAACCCTCATCTTAAAATATGGGGGGGGGGGGGGCGATAAAGTCCTAATTCAATGCACAATGATTTCCAAGTGATGGCATTAGTCGTGCCAAGAGATACTTTACAACCCCCGCACCTCCGATTAGCATGGTTGGCTAAGTGCGGTGCTGAAAGAAGTTCAACAAAAGTACATACATACGTACATTCTCCACAAAGGCACGCATTTATTTGTTATTATTGCGTGTTGCAAACATCAGCTTACGAGGCAGTCGAGCTGGGAAACGGGCGTCTTGGTTCCCGGCTGCCCGATGTCCCAGATCTTGACGCAGCCCTTGCCCCCCGTGTAGACGTGGCGCGTGGGGTTGCTGATGGTGACGGCGCACACCACCTCGCCGTGCGGCAGCGTGCTGATCTGCCGCGCGTGACGCGGGATCCCTGGGCCCATCAGGGCGTCCGGAGGGAACGGCACGGGCTGCATCTGCCCGTCCGCGCTCACGTGGAACGAGTACGCCCTGTGGCACCAAAACGCAAAGATGTAGCGCGCAAAGCACTCTCAACACGGCTCCATTGGGACTTGTCGTGGAATATTTGCAATTGCAACCGCGCTTCAAGAGCCTGCACAGAAACAGCAGTGCATCACAGTGGCATGCATATCTCACTACATATTTATTTTTGTTTGAAGTCAGTCATCGGCAGAGAAGAGGAAGGAAGGCCTTGAGCCTGGACTTAGGCACAGAGAGTCTTGTCGCATGGATCAGAATCTTTATTTAGACTGGAGAAATACGGAGAGATACAAAGCGCTTTTTTTTATTTTTTACAAGTCTCTGTGCGGGAGCCCCTGAGCGCGCGTAATGTTCTGGGGGTGCAGAACCGGAGGTGCATAGACACGAAGAGTCGGATTTCCACTTTTCCTAGAGACAAAACCCATACTATTTCCGTCCGCCTAGATCAGGTGTTGGCAACCTGTGGCTTCGGAGCCGCATGCAGCTCTTAAAAGGGACCGCTTCGTGACTTTTTTTTTTTAACAGACCACCGTCTCGTATTCACATTGCATTGCGGCTCTTGAAATGTTTTTTTTACCGAATTCGAAAAAAATGGAACTTCTTGTTATGTTGGTTGCTGACACATGGCCTAGATCGATCACACCCGTGAAATAGACTTAATAAAATTGAACGCAACACCACCAGATCCCCCCCCTACATCCCCCCCCGGATTGCCAGGGGGGTAGGGAGGGGTTAGATAGTAGGGGCAGAATAAGAAGTGACTTCCCACTAAAATAAAAGGTTGGCTGGAGAGGTTTTGGCCAAAAAGGCTTGGTTTGTCGGGAGGAGAGCGCACGCGACGGCCACTACAGCGAGCTGAGAGAGCAAAGGTCGACAGGGGCAAGTGTCGGGAGGATCTTGAAAGAGGCGAGCGGGATTCTTAAACTATTTTTAATTTTACCAGGTAAACCCCACTGAGCTATATAGCTCTTTTTCAGAAGCAACCTGGCCACAAATGAAAGCTCAAAGTGCCTTTTCACGTGGAAATCTATATCAGCCAAATATTCTAAATGCATGTTGATCCTAAATGTAGAAGAAAAAACTGGAAGACCTGGAGAAAAATACACGTGACCACAGAGAGACACGCAAACTCCAAATATACAGGCATCAGGAGTCGGGATCGAACCCACGACCTCCTGTATACCAGGAGAGGCAGTTCACATCTCGCTACCGAGACTGGTCCAGAAGTCAGTGGAGGGATTGGAGGGCGGGCGGGGGGGACGATGTGGATTCGTTAACGCATGCAGGAGAGGAATCTGGCAGTGATGGCGTGCATCATCTACAGGCGGGGGGGGATTTCATCCGACTTATATGCAGTCGTCATGCATCACCGTCACCAATGCATTGACATCTAAGTGCTATTGATGTGCGGTACTTACGGCTTTCCACCAGAAATACTGTTGGGCAGAGACGGGGGAACGCCGGGCACGCGCATGTGCGAATGTGGATCAAAGCCAACCTGTGAGCGCACGAAAAGGAAACGTTAATCACGCGCCATTAAGGACCTTGACGCGTAAGAATTAAAATCGTATTAGAGTGCAAGTGACAGGAGGTATGCAAAACCCGTCTGAACAGCCAATTCTGAAAAAATGGAACATATTACAAAAACCCGTGTTGACGTAAAATTTGGTTTCTGGAACGTATTTTTGCAAAAGATATTGGGAGCGACTCATTAAATTAAAACATGCAGTAAGCAGTTTATTATTTGACCAGGTGGGAGGTCACTTATATTCCTCGGTAATCAAAGATAAACTTGCACGTCATATATTAACAGCACCACACATGGATAATATGGCAGTGCAATATTTTTTTAATTGTATTTAAAAGTTTATATTTTTACGACTAACCTGTACCGGACTTCGTCCACTTTCTAATAAGCTTAAGTGTTGCACTCTATTGTGGGAGGAAAATGACTTGGTGGGCATCATACATTTCTATAAAGTGTTTAATAACATGAGATTTTGGGGGATCAGTGCCACACTTCTCTACGAACCCTGGGATCAGAGTTAGATTTCTGGCAACGGCTGACATTGGTGGTGATATCTGAACTGATCCTGTATCCTGACTCCCCACATCATCAATCCCCACTGTCCAATATCGTCAAATATAATCAAACAAAATCCATGATCGACACAGCATGGGGAGGTCTTCATCCAAAAGTGGATAAATAAGAGCTGCAAATAATTTTACATTATGCAAACCAATTTAGGAAAGCATTATGACCCTGCCCTTTGGCATTAAATCAATAAACCTTTGGGCTGCAATTATTGGCATCCACATTTTGGAACTTTGGTAAAGGCATTGGGTTTTTTTTTTTAAGACAGACTTTAATATATTTGTGCCAAAATTCTGCTTTGTAACCAATCTGAAATATCATTAGAGATAACAGCAGTCGCTTAGACAGTCGCACTCATCTATGTGTACAAGTTTTTCGGATCCAATAAGAATAACAATCAAAATGAAACACTACTACAATAACAGGGGGTAAAAGTAATTTTTGTTGTATATCCATTTAACACTAAAAAAAGTGAAAATGTAACCCCCACAAGTGCTTGCTCATGCCACTGCTGGCAGAACAGCCCCCCCCCCCCCTTCCAGGTAGCTCTTATAGAGAGGCCCCCCTCCAGAACGTTAGTGGCCTACTCTTCCACATTCACCAGACATCTTTGAAATGGTGTGAGAGCACCGATGTAGCTCTCCACACATGACCCAGCAATCGACTGTGGTGAACCTATATTCTTGGTTCTTTCGGTAAAGTCACCACGTAGAAGGGAAACAATAAAATAATAAAAATATAAAACAATTAAATTCTCAAGACGTTTCGACTGCAACACAAGCAATCATTATCAGGTGTGAAAACCACAGCAAGAAAATTTGAAAAAAGTGGCGGTTTTTTTTTACGTTAGCACCACGGAGAGCGATTTGGCAGTTATTCAGATGGACGAGCCCATCTATGTTCGGAAAAGAGGGGGGAGACGAAAATAATGGATGCGGTCTGAAAGCCACCGTAAGCGTGAACAATCAATTAAGACCCTAAATGGTTTATCAAATCCTTCCAATGATTGCTAAGCCAGAATCCATCTTCTCGGTTGAAATTGTCTCTATGTTTGTATATGTGGATAGCCTCATGAACGAATCTCTCATGGTAGCCAGATTGCTTGCAAAGAACCTCTGTCTTGGAGAAGTCAATGTCATGTGAGCCTACTGAATTATAACAGTGATCTGCCACAGCCGAGGTGTTGGTCCTACCGTGTTTTAGGTCTGCTTTGTGTTGAACCTATTTATCATACTAAGTTGGACAGAGACCGGGGTATGGGGTGTGCGGCAAAGTGGAATTTAAGAAACTTGGTCCAATGTGTCACTCGCCACACGCGCTGGGAGATCGAATGGAACCGACGACCACTGGATTGCACGTGCAGTGTGCCCCGCCGGTACACCACGGCAGCATCCCCCACTCCCACTTTACATCAGCCTGCACCGTGTGCTAACAGCCCACAAAAAAAAAGACAAGTGGTCAGGCTACTTGTGGGAACTGAACCCGCCGGCTCCGCGTCAACTGGCTGCGGGCGGGACCACCGGTCACGTGACCACGTTACACCCACCGTGGGCAAGTAACGCCCGTCTTGTGACCACGCGGTCGATCAATGCAGAGCGTGTCGGGCACCCTCCATGGGTGAGCGTCGGCCGGTCATGTGACCGTGCATTCAGCCAATATGAAGCGAGACAAACGTACGAGTGCGATGTTACACCCCGTGGGCGAGCGACGCCCGTCATGTGACCACGCAGTCGACCAATGCAGAGCGTGTCGGGCACCCACCATGGGCGAGCGTCCGTAGGCGGCGGCCGCGGCCGCCATGGCGCTCATCTGCGGGGACATGCCGTGCAGGCTGGCGTACGCCCCGGGGCTGGCCAGCTCTCCGTTCAGCCCAGGGTGTGGAATCATCCCAAAGGGGTTGCCAAACGGCCCGCCGGCCGCAGCCAAAGGCATCCTGAAGCCGGCCCCTGCAACAACATCCCCATGGCGGAATTATTTAGCGCCAACCCACGGTGTTGCGACCGCCTAACTAGTGGGCTGGCATGGCGCACAGAATCAGGAAGGTTGGGCTCGGCCCAGATTCCAACGGCAGCCTTACCCGGGGGCCCAAGCCGGCATTAACCGGGCCATGTAGCCTACTTGTTTGGGCCTCTTGGCCCCCTTTCCACAAGGGAGCTGCTCGCAAACACCCGTTGCAGCCCTAGGCACTAGCCGTGATGTCACGCTGGGGTTAGTAAGCCAAGCAGCGATGACATCTGTCACTTAGGTTAACTTCAAGGCAGTGGGTTTTTTGGTTGTGTTTAAAAGGATGGCTGAAAATGAAAAAAAGTTAAACAGATTTTTTTTCTTAGATAATCAAACCCAAGCGTGCCTTCAACATTATTTCTATATTATAAAAATAACAAATGCTATCCGGGGTGTGAGGTGGAGCTGCTGGATCTCAACAGGCTTCCCCTGGCTCACGTTTCAGAAGCATGAAAGAACATCACTTGTTGCAAATGGCTAAATGTACGACTGCCGCAGGGTCACGGCGCATTTATTATTCTTGTATCGCATTACTCAGTCCTGGACAGAACGCCATCGCCCCCACTTGAAACACCAAACGCGCACTCCCCTCTTAAAAGGCATATCATCTTTAAGTGCGCCTTACCCAGAGGGTCCATGCTGTGAGGCTTTCCTGGGATGGGCCTAAGGCTGGCCGAGCCGCTCGTGCCAGGCACAGGGAGGTCATTTGAGGAGGCTGGGGTACTTGAGGCGGACATTGGGGTGTGAGGTTTCTCGTTCTGCAGCGACAACAAAAGCACCGAGGCGCATGTTAACACAGTTCCCATCGATCTGTAACGAAACGCCAAGGCCGAGCTTGTTGCAGAGTTCAATTAAAAAGGACAAGCGGCTCTTTAACCTCCAGCTACATACAGAGAAGTGTGCGGAAACCTCAGGCACGTAAACAAAATGATCCAAGAAGCAACTAGATCTAGCATGAAACGCTTCAATGTGGGCAGTCGCGTGTTGAAATAAACACAGCGGCGTACTTGCACACGAAGGAGGTCAACACGATTGGGGCATTTACAATCTGGCTAAGAGATGGCAGTACAGCGACGAATTCTTGATCTACGTGTGGAGCTTTGAGCACTATCCCACTGTGCGAGAGAGGGGGGGGGCACTCCCTCTTCGTATTCCACTTTTTTCCCCCAACAAGAACCCCCAAAACCCATCAACAGAATCGTCCAATCCAGCCAATGCAAAACCTTCCTAAAAATTTTTTTCCCAGTGTGCCTTCCCCCCCCCCCCCCCCTTGGGCAACAAAAAGAGCGGCGTTATTACTTCTAATGCTATGACAAAACAACAAAGCTACATTAAACCGGTGACCTACAACGAAACGAAAAAAGCAAGCGAAGCAACAAGCACCTGCACTGAGGTGGGGGGGGGCAGACCTCGTGCACCTCAACCCCTTACGCACCTGGGCCGGCTATTTCCATGCAAGCGCGATAATGGTCACCGGGGAACGATGGCTCCCAACCACATGAAAGGACGCGAGGTCGCAGCCCAGCAGCACGACTGGCGGGGCCAGATAAATAATCCCCTTGCGGCGCGGGCGAGCGGGCGAGGCCTGCCAAGTTAACAGCCGTCACACCACTACCGCAGCTGCCGCTGCCACCACCGCCAAACCCTCACCTGTGCGTGGTCCTTGGAGCGAGAGGACGGAGTGCTGCTGGACGACGCCACCGACGCTGGACTCTGCGGGGGCGCCTCCTTCCGGGGGCCGTGACCGTGTGACCGATCGAGCCCGTTCTCTCGGGGCAGGTGGCCCGGGCTGCCCCGGGGGGACGTGGGGTCCTGCCCCCAAGGTGGAGGGGTAAAACAAAAAAAAAGAGGGGGGGGGGGTGGGAAGAGGCGTAAGGCGGGAGGGAGAAACGACGCTAACCGTGAACGGCGGGTGACACGCACCAACCCAACAAGCCACAGCGAGGCCGCCCCGCACGCTTCCTTTGCTGGAGGCGAAGTCTCCGCAGTAGTTAACGTCAAACACAACAGGCGTGCCGTAAACCCTGCGTGGCTCCCGCGATGACCCCGTGCCTCGCCGCCTCTAAAACTGCCTGATTTATCGCGCGCGGGTGTCAGTCGCCCATATTTTATGCATGCGAGCCACGGACCACGCTGCCCTGTGTTTATGCTAATAATCCACCGGACGCAATTCTGAGTGCCGTTTTTTTTTTTTACGAACCGCTCATTACGAACCTCATTTGAGACATCCACGACTAGGTTGTCATCACTCTTGTCAGCGTCGCTGTCCTGTAAATGCCAAAACATCGCACGCGTTAAAGATGCGTTTTTTGCCGTAACAGTAAAAAATGTGGCCTTTCTGTACGTCAAAGCATTTAAAAAGCCGATATCAGTGATGCAGATTAACCACATGTTCCATGTACGTACGTAGTGATTCATAGACTCCTTCACATCCATCTTCCTCTTTTTGTTCTCATTTGCAAAGTCGGACGAATTTCTGAATTTTTCATTGCTTCTCAAGCTGCCAGCTGGTGACACGGACTTACTCTGGAATTATAACACAAGACACAACTCAAGTTTAGCCATCACTACTGGCCCCGAAGTTTAAACATTCTATTTCATGCCACTAAATCACATCAACGAGCATATTCATTACTTTGCCTTCTTCCCCCAATTGTATATCGTCTGCGCTACTGATGTCAGTCATGAGACAGAGCATCCATTCGGACCTCGCAGAGCAGCGCAACCCTACATTCTATAAATGGCCCACAAAAGCAGACACCCGCAGGGGTACCTCTGCAATCCCATCAAGTGACCTCTGGTCGACTCAGTAAGGGGGCAGAACTTTCCCACCTGCCCTGCCACATTGAATGTTAATTATTACGAGAGTCACACTGATATTTCTGATTCTTATACGCGGAATTTAGCCATATTAAGTGCAGAACCAAAATGTATTTTCGGTTGTTTTTTGTGCCATCATTTTTACACCATCAAGTCACTCCATTTGAGAAACTGGTTTAATCACAGCAGGCTACCTGGATTCGAACCCTGGACCTCAGCATTGCCAGCTTGGCAACCTGATATTTTAGCTTACCTGACCACCTGCATGTAAACAAAAAAATTGTTGTGGCTTTGAAATATGTTGTTGAGCAACAAACATAATAAAAGCATTCAATGGCCACAAGTACAGGGATATACCTGCATAAAGAGCCTATTACTAGTGTTGCAGCTCGGTTAAAAACACAAGACCTTGGGAGAGCACAATTGTGGGGACCATGGAACACTCAAACAACTTTCTTCCACTTGAACTACGACAATTCGCTTCCCGAGTGCCAAATCGATTTGCACCTGTCCAAAAAACCCCAAACTTTTTTTAAAAAAAGCAATACATATGCAAGCACATTGCAAAAAAAGGACTGCACCAACAAGTGAAATTATTTACTCTTTAATAAGCGAAGGCGGCATGCGCTTTTATAAAATTATTTCCAGCTCGTTCTAATGTAAAGTCGTGGTCTTTTTCTCTTTAGGCAAACCACTTGAAATGAGGAAATGTCGCTTGGTGGCACTCCCTGGGCACAATTAAAATTAAGAGTCCTCTATATTTAGTGCAGCAGAGAACAATTTTGAGCCAACAAATTTTTTTTGGTCAATAATTAGCCGCTGCTGGGAAAAACATTAAACCCTCAGCATGTTTAACTGCATCTTATGCTACAGCCAGTGGACAAATTGATGCAATTTGAAACTGCACTGTAAACTAATTGCAACAAGAGCAAGTCTGTGTAGCTCCATTATGCTTATTTTCAAAATTGCATTTAAACATTAAAAGGGCGCATCGCTCCTTTGCTTAGCCCATTCAGCATAACATACAGTAACACCATTAGACCTCCTTTGCCAGTACCAAAATGTAATAATAGGGTTTTTTCCCCTTTTTTCTGGCAACAAAACTGAAACCTTCTTTACAAGGATTCATGTCTGCATTAACTACAATACCTGCAGTCAAAATGCAAACAAAAAACATACTATGATAATATATGCATTGTCCTTGAAACTGCTGTATGCCTTTTGGCGTCATCTGGTCGAGCACCAATTTGGTCGAGGCTCAAAAGAAAGCCGTCCCTTGGTGTGGACCAATCAGTTTCAAGGACAATGCATATATTATCATAGTATGGTTTTTGTTTGCATTTTTACTGCAGGTATTGTGGTTAATGCAGACATGAATCCTTGTAAAAAGGTTTCAGTTTTGTTGCCAGAAAAAAAGGGGAAAAACCCTATTATTATACAGTAACACCACCCCAACCCGCCATCATTTACGATTAAAATGGTACAATTACATTTTCTAAATGTTAAGTGCGTGCTTACTGGGCCTGGGTCCCGGTCTGCTTCCGAAGATTTAATACGCCCGGAGACGATCACAGGAGCCAAAAAAATACAAAAGGAAAAGCACATTTGTTAAAACTCCAGTACGCACATTTTTTTGGTCCACCTCTCAAGAGAAAAGTGGGGCTTCAGCCGGCAGGGACATTGGTCGACGGTCAAGAATGATGATGGCGCGGCGGCCAAGATAGGAACGTAACGAATCCCGAGAGGACATTTGCCATGAGGTGATGGAGCAATATAAATGGTGACATTTTGGGGGGGCCTTTTCACCCATCAGTGGACTGATAATGGCTGCAGATGATGATGACAACAAAACAAACACTCTTGCCACTTCAACCAAAACGAGAGTCGAACGCGTGCAGTGCCGTTTCGCCTCCGTGAACACAAACCTCTGTGGTTGTTGTTGTTGTCCTGGTGGTGGTTCTTGTCCTCCTTGCTGGGGATGTGCGGAGGTGGCGCCAGGGCCCCCGACAGGGCCAGGAGGCCCGAGCTGCCCACGCTCACCGGCGGGAGGCCGGGCGGCTGCAGCCCGGATGGGTGCGGGGGCAGCGGCACGGGCGGTGCGTGCGCGTGCGCCAGGTGCTGCGCCTGCAGCTGCTGTTGCTAAGGTACAATACATGTATATATAGATAAATCACACGCGTTCCTCCATCCAACGGGATCATTTTTACAGTTGAAAACGTCACGACAGATTTGGCGTCGAGGTGTCAACGGACGCCGGCGAACGCGATTATGCTGCTCGCAAATATCAAAGTGATTTTTTGCTACCCATGTGGAGGACTGCCGACTCTTATGGATCAACAATACTGTGCTGCTCAAACACCATACCGCGGTGGGTTTTACACCCGTTACGCTTCTCTCACACTGCTCCACTCTGAAATTACCTCCCATCGTCCATTTTCTCAAATTCTTATCACATTTCTCAATTCAAGGAAGGCATCAACTCCGATCTATCATGCATCAAATAGCGCCGTCTGTAGCTGGCCGCTTGGCGCTGTGGGCTTTTGGAGCTGCGCTCAGCAAAACAAACTTAATAAATATTGCAAGAGTGTGATGTGAGGCAAGGGATTAATCTGCAAAAAAGGAGGGATGGGGGATGCGCAATGACTTAAGTATAGCGTTTCAAAGTCGGGCATATACATTAAATTGGCTTGCCATCACTTTGTGGCTTGCCTTTTGATGTAAATGATCCCACGGCGCTCTTTGCAACAGTGGGCCATTGTATGCGAGCCTCGTGGGCCAATTTGCCTGCAATTACCAAGAAAATGTCCCCAACTGTAGAGCTAACCAGCCTCCCTTATAAATAGCATCTATGTCTTAATAGCTGCATTGCCCGAGGCTCGAACATGAAGTGAGGCGGCAGCGATAGTAGCACGCTCCTCACGGCACACCTGTACGCCCGCACATATTTTATCAGTCCGTGTATTACGGCAAGGCGAGGCAAATCCCCCCAGAATAGAGCACGTATATTTCACTGGCATTGCTCATGTCATCATTGAACAATATATATATTATTAACGCTACCAAAGAAACGTTTGCCCAAAGACCCATGTGACGCAGTCTGCCAGTCAATCACGAACGCAATTGTCCCCCACCGAGATTAATTAAAACCATCTTGAGCAATGCTGCGCGTTACAATTAACAACCGGCAAAACAACGGCATGATGATGTTCATAATAAATTAAGGGTTAAAGTTAATTTTAAAAGCACTCGTAAATAAATATTGATTATGCACTCACGACCATGTACAGTTCCATCAACTCTTAAAAAGATCGGACTAATACACTCTGTGCCGATACTACAAACACGGTTTTGTTTTAAAGTTTTGCACAATGCTCTCTGTCAGCCTAAAATGCATTCTGCTGAAGCCATCACCCAAACATTCTTCCTGAACATGAAGCCCCCCACCTAAAAGTTAATTTGCGTGACATTCTAGGTGGGGAATTCACACCAAGTATTTTTTTATGTGTCACTTTGACCTTTGATAGTGGGAAAAAAAGCATTCCCACGCATAATAGTGCACGGTCCTTGAAAGCCTATATATATTTTTTTTATCAAATAAATGTGTTTGGAGGCATTGAGAGCATATTAAGATGATTTTAAAAAGGATATTGCTATTGGATTTTGTTTTACATTGTCTATTTAAATGAAAGTACATACAAATCTATAGTGTATTACTCAAGCAAACAAAAGCTCACTGAAAAACCACGTTATGGTTTCTTTTCTAATACTTCGCTTAATGCCAAATGCTAAACTCTGAGAAAACCATCTAAATTGTTATTGAGAGGTACTAATCATTGAGCATCATTGTGGATAATGTAATAACAAAATAATGCCTTATTCAAATATTTGTCGCTCATGTAAAAAGTTAAAAGCATTAAAAACACAAATCCCATCAGCCCACAGGACATTCTGGGAGTGCATCTTTTCAGCAGCTTCGGTTTAGTATCAGCAAGTACTCGACATTCACCATCATCAGACGTCAGGCTTGCTTAAACCGATTGCAGAATATTTGATATCATTTTTCACGAAGATAAGCATTTACGTAAGGCGACGCACAACCGAGACATAAAATCCCATTTATGGATCGGCCCTAGAGGCCGCTTGTGATGTGTTGCATTTTTTAACGACGGCCAAAATAAAAAAAAAACGCACCACGGCGGACAAAGCATTCGGCACGGCGAGCGTTCACGGCGTCACAGTCATCAAAGAAATGTTAAGTGGAAGAGGACAAACCAGCGGCAGGTTGGGAAGGGCACGTACCCCGATGATAGCGTTGAGCTCCGACATGGTCACCTGCTTAGCTCTCTCTACAGCCTGGATCACCTGCTGTTGGTGCTGCAGCAGTCAGAGGAAAAAGACGAGAAACCAAATGCACTCCATTTCACTGCAGCGCCGGCCGCGCGTTGCCTGTGCATCCGCTAGGGTCCAGAGACTCGTAAGAGCGAGAGGCTGCAGCAGCTCAGGTTGGCAATCCTGAAGCAGGATTAACACCAGGAACGGTAAGAGTACCGACGATAACTTGTTAAATAACGACAAAAATCCACAATACGTACGTAATTAAAACTCATTACACTTCGGGTCGGACAAATCGCACGTTAACTCCTGGGGACTGATTATTTCAGAAATGTTTGATGGATAATGCCTCACTGCATGCCGGTGAGTCCATCACTGAAGCACCAAACCTCACCTGCTAAGACTGTCAAAGACTCAGGCTTCTGCATACAAAGATAAAGGTGCAGCCCCATTGGAGGGAATTTTGCCTATTCTTCCATGCTTGCCTGTGAAAACATTAGTCTTCCCATAAAGAAGGGCGGTCGGTTGAAAAGGTGATATCTTCCTTTCTCCTCGATGGCATTGAATGACTGGTGATAATTTTAATCAACCTGTTATTTTGTCTACAAGTTTACCGAAGCAGTAATTTGAAAATCTAAAACCCCGCCATGTATTAGTTACGTGTTATTTTAAATAAAAATAAAAACGCGAGTCACAGACAGTACTTTTGGCTGCAAAGTGTGGAATTGCACAGAGAGATTGGTTCACCAACAGGAAATGCTTTACACCGCATTTGACAAAGCAATGTGAAACGTTGATTTGGATAAGCATGCACAGCCCTTGCTTAATATGCCACTGAAAGCAAATATACATTTTTTTTTCAAAACTCATTCATTCCACTTCCTATCAGATTTATTTTTCATTTGCAGATTTCAAAATGATTCACATTATAAAGGTCAACGGAATTAAAGGTTAATGGGCACTTATAACAAATAGATTTTTGTTTAAATCCAGGAGCCCAGCTAATGACTGTCTTTTTACATGTCCGTTTAACAATGTCAATGAGTCGCACGTTATTACATTAAAATTCCCTCCAGGAAAATACCTTCTGCCATGCTGCTTTACTTTCAGAATGTGGATGGGCCAACAAGTGCTACACAGGTTTTTCAAAACAGTATGTTTAATGACCACCATTCCATATTCATCCTACCACTTTTCTATTGTGCGCACTCACACAAAAAACCCCAACCGAGGATAATGACTGCCTTTAAAACAACGCGCTTCCACTAATGCCAAAATAACAAGCCCCGCTGGGTCTGTGCAGATGGTCTAAGCACTTACTCCCACCCATCTAGACTACAGACACACAAAAGCACGGATATAAAAGCACGGCATACAGCGTTGACTCTACCCACCTCCCACCAACTTGCAGTCAGCAGGGAGGCATTTTGGTCCATACTCACCTCCGGTGACAGAAACGGAATGATCTGGGCACAGATTGCATTGAGCCTTTTCACTATCTCCATCTGAAAGAGAATACACTGTTTAGTTTCTTAGTTCTGAGAGACGGAGAAGATAACTTAAAAAACACAACAATAACAAAACATTCATAACAGAAATTCGTGCAACCCTTATTGAACGAAGATAACGCGATGGTGAATGTTCACCTTGCCCCTTATGGGTTCTTGAGAACAAAACAAATGTAAAACACATGGTGTGGAGATAAAGCACGTGGTGGTGTTTTTTCAAGTTTGGGAGAAACGGTCAATTCGACGCGGTCTGAGAGTATCTACTTCTGTCGGTCTTCAGTACCTCTCCAGCATTTAATCCAACTGTAAGTCACTGCTACGCTTCAGCGGCAAACCAATAACACTCAGCCCGAGGAATGTGCACGTTCGACATACGAGCACGCGCGCAGATAACAACTACCCATGATATTAAATTATTTAAGGGCCAGGGAGTTCGGTACCTTCGGGCCCCTTTGCTTTGTTCATCGGTGGCTACAGTTGAAGCTCACCAACGCTCGACAATTAACAAAACAGAGATGTCGCCTCAACGTGCCCATGCCATACGCATGCAATTTCTACGACATATTTAACAAAAATGTTTACATGTAAATAGGTGGATGTTGATATTAGCACCTGATGAGTGTTTACTAAATTCAAGTAAGATAGGACTCCTCATTTGTAGGTAAAAAAGTCACCTTTCACTTTAGCTTAATCTAGATTTACTGTGACTAACAATACATGGCCATACACTGCAAGACAATCAAACCTCACGCTTAATTTCAATAAACGTTGACTAATTTCCGCAAAAAATGGCTAAATATCTCGACAGAAATTTGGTTTATAAAAAACATTAATAGCAAGGGCTTCTCATCAACACCATGTTTTTCACATCCACACAAATTTAAGAATGACAATTTTAGGGTGTTGAAATTTGACAACAGAAACCCTTCTAACGTCATGGCAGGATCACTTGTTGCACCAAGCAACTCAGCTTTGATGCTACACGCGGGCAAGGTGGGATGGTGAAAATTGGAAATGGCACGAAATTAATTAAATTTTGCCATTGTGGACGCTAAAACATAATTTATGATAATGAAGCATCGGTCAATGTCGATTTCGAATCTCTTGATACAAGTACCGAGATTTGCGCGTGCGTACGTATATATGTCAGAGCGCGACATCCCTGCAGCCGCGTTGGCCACGTTTAAAAAGATAACTGATTTTGTGAATATCATTGCGGCAATTAATTGAAATTGCCTGCGGTGGGAGGAGTCCGCTACACCTCTACTGTACGCCGAACCACAGGCAAGGCAATGCTGCATTTAATTTGCAATATTTTCATATATTCATGTGCTTTGCGTTTTATTTTTAACGACAATGACAGTTGCAAAACATATCTATAAACAGCTTTATACTCTTCACTCTGTGCAATGAAAAAGAACCCAAGAAGCATGATGCACCCTTTTCAAATCGCTCTATTTATCATATTTTAAATCCATCTCATTATGTCTCGAGGCAAACAGCTTGCAGATCGCTGCTTGCAGACATGCTCAGATTAATAAGCAGCTTCCCGAAGCCGAAAGAATTGAAGTGTTATTACTCTTTCAAGTCTAAAAGTGTAAATATTCTTCCAAAACATTGTCGGCGTGGATAAAACTCCCATTATACAGGTAATTTATATTATTTTACATGCGGTTTTACAAATTTACAACTACGCTTAAAGTGGCTTTTTTTATTATTCATTGTTTAGATTAATGGTAGTCACACTATACTAATTGCTATTTTTTTCCTTCCACAAACACAGGGCAGAAGCCTCGGGGGATGCCGATCCAATAAAGGAAGGCCTGCCACCATTCCACGTGTCAGAAAAAATATAATCCCTTCACACAGAACACAGCCGTCTGCATTACATCCCCATTTCCCTGTGGGGTGGGCTACGGGTCAGTTATTGACACACCAAGAAATTGCTTGGGAAAATTAAGTATAAATAGTTCGCCAGCTGCCAAAGTTACGAGTATTTAGCCAAAGAAAGCAGGACAAAAGCTATAGACGAATTTGCTTTCCTGCAACCTCAAAATTCACATGCAGAAAAAGGTGCACCAGGCCATAAGAAAATGCAGATAGTTTGGAATAGACGCAACAGAGTTGAGCTGACTATACCACAGAACGAGACAAAACTAAAATCATACGGTGGGTGCAAAAGGGCCCAATAGTTGACAAATGTAAACAAAAACTATACACCAGCTTTTTTTTCCATTGGTGACAAATACACTTAAGGTAATATGACAAGAAGTACAAATTGTGCAGATTATGCCACTCACTTGTTTGTGCATTTCGATGTTCAGGCCATATGACATTTCATAATACTGAAAAACAAACACGGAAAATTTGATTAGACGATCCAGTCATTGTGCCGTTAGCGTTTTGAAAGGATTCATAACACAACACACACCCAAAGCAAATTGGATTACGTCAAAGATAGGACACAATATTAGTGAGGCTTAGGCGATGCTTTGTGAAATCTTGTCTTACAAAAATAGCACTTCTGTCTGGTTAGCATGGGGCGAGGTCACAAAGGACAAGCTCGCGCATAATAAAAGGCACATTATGAAAACGAAGGAGCGTGCTGAGAGGTTAAGGGACAATGGAAGTGGACCCATGTCTTTTGACATTTAAGAACACGAGTTCAACTCAAAAGATTCCTCAGTACAGCAATGCGTTCGACAAGTACCGTTCTGCACAATAGAAGGCTTACCATGACATAATGCCGCTGCATCTCTGTTTTCTCACTGGCCAGTTTCTCACATTCCAACTTCAAACTGATGACGCAAGATGGCAACAAAAAATAGAGGACACTTATATCAGACAAACATTTTGGCACCTTCTACCAGAAACATTACTTTATTAATAACAAATAAAATGCTTTGGTTGTTTATATACGGCTGGGTTATTCATACATTCAATATTTATTTTCCCTTTTATTCACACCTTGTCACACCTCCTTCAATAACGCAATTCAGCTCTGCACCAAGGGCTCTGCCCAAGTCAACGTTAGAAAGATCTGTATTATTTTTATGAGTGGAACGTCTCTTTCGGCAAGTTGTTTGGCTATAAACTCCAACTGTGTAAACACACACACACCACACCACACAAGGGGGCTGCTGTTTCCACGATTCTCAAAACCAAAGTCAGGTTGAATCCTACAACCAGTGATGAGGATGCCTGATGCAAAAAAAGGCCACGTAGGTTCATGAACGCAGAATTGCGAATGAGGCCTCGTGCAACAACGCAGTTCAAATTTTAACGGGCGTACGAGTAATCCCTCCACGCCGTGTGTATGCACATATTCCCAAAGCCAAATGTGGCAATGGGGCCGCTAACACAGGACCCTCGGCGCATTCTTTACACGGCAACAATCACCCGTGTGTTCCCCACACAATTCGTGTTTATCTTAAAAATTAAAACAATAATCGCGTGATACTGCGTTGGCAGCGGCGCCACAGGCAACACATAACAAAATAGCAACGTATTCATCAATGACGCTGCATGAAAATGGAAAAAAATATATGCAGTATTCTCTAGGATTAGAAGTCACTACAGAAAGTAAGATGCGCCCCAAAACGTCAAGGATAATTTTGTTTAAGTGTATCTTGTAATCTGGAGACTACGGCAATAGCGTGACGTTTCAGGCAACGGCCCTTCCTCACAGCGAGAGCTCACATTTGTACTCCCGTGTTTTTATTATTTTTAGGGCCTTGTTTCTTGAAGGATGTGTTGAGTTCTTTTATTCGTCGTAAAGCAGCTACGCTATCGTGGTGGTGGTGCACGGGGTGTGGTGGTGGTGCACGGGGTGTGGTGGTGGTGGTGCACGGGGTGTGGTGGTGGTGTGGTGGTGCACGGGGTGTGGTGGTGGTGCACGGGGTGTGGTGGTGGTAGTCGTCGTTGCATGTGTCACGTTGCCCACCTGTGATACTGCGCCTGTAAAAACTGAAACTCTTCCTTGATGCGGTCACAAGTCTCATTGATGGCAAATTTGAAGGGCTGCCCGGCTTGGGGTGGCGCCTGGGAAAAAGACAAGAACACAAACTGATGAATCACCAGGCATCTTCACCCCCCACACAATGCCATCACCTACCCTCCCCCATATATATTTTTCCACACCCCCCCCGCCCCAGTTGCAGACAGGCCATCACTACTACCACCACCACGACTACGGCCTTACCAGTGCATCATCAAACAAGACTCCAGCGTGAGCCACCTCCATACCCCCCCTCCCCGTCACTCTTCCTCCTCCACCACACATCTTTAGCCCCAATCTTTCCTTTTAAACAGATTACATTCCCACCCAAGCCGAACAACCCCGCCCGCCCGCCGCCAGCAGAGCCTACCCAGGGAGCGTAAATCACTATAATCAGTCATTTCAATCTCGCACCCCGGGGCGAAGAATCCAAAGCGCCATCACGACAATCCACTGTCGCCCATTTATCAACCGCAACCATCTGCGTGCGAGGCGACCACTGGAATCTCGAACATGCCTTCCCAATGTGCAACATCCTCGTAATAGCCTCTTAACTATAGAGTGGAGGAGCATAGACTTTGCAAAACGGGGGGGGGCGGCGGGTGGTTATACATTACACAGGATTTTTTTTTATCTTGCCGGAAGCTTTTTATGAAAACAATTTGAAGGACAGTGTGTGTGTGTATATATACGTGCTTTTTGAAATGTTTGTCTCTTATGTACGCGTGTGTGTGTGTGTGTTGGAGATGGGGGGGGGGTAGAGGTGGCAGGGGTCGTGGTTAGCACGCAGCACACCGCGACAGAAACCCGGCCAACCTAAGTTTGACTCCCGGCCACGGCCAACAACCGTTGGCGCAGAGTTCACTCTGATGACGATGATGATTATCACGGTGTAACAAAACAATCCATTTCTTTTACTCCTGGGTAGTGAGTGTTATTCTCTAATTGTGTATGCATCAAAAGTGCAGAAAACGGCTATTATTCCGCACAAACTTTGCTTTTGTGACCAGGATATTTTGAAATGTTGCTATTTTCACTGAGAAAACGTGTGTGCGTGCGTGTCATTCCTTCACGTAAAGTTCCGGCCACAAACGCGAAGTTTGTGCGGAATAATATCCATTTTCTGCGCTTTCGAGGCACGAGCAATTAAAAAAAAATAATTCGTGTGACATCGTGAATTATCCGAACCGGACGAGACAGAACAGACAGTACGCGGGGCCTTCACAAACAAAAACGATGTTAACTCCACCGTCTGAGAGGCGTTGTTTGCCTGGGGTCGTGCGGGTAAACATCGCCTCCAGCTGGGGAGACAAAGGCAGCCGTGGAGGGGGCGCTGTGGTTGGTTTTTGTTTGACACCGCGGCATTAATAGGCGTTCGCTAACAACAATTGTCATCACAATGCATCGTGGTAGTCGTAGTGGGTGGTGTGGTGGTGGTGGGTCTCTCTCTTTGTTGTACGTCGCGTGAGTGAGTATATGTTGCTGTTTTAGTGCTACGCTATTGTCTGTACACCGCGAGACATCGGCGAGGCTAGGGAGACGCACAGTCTCTACGCCTCGCGCCATTGCCGGGCTTGAATCTACCACAAAAGGGGGGTCCCCGTCCCCCCCCCCCCCCCCCACAAACTCTCTCTATCGTGGCGATCAACCCCTCTGCATCCTCCACGCCGGAATGAGATGCGACAAGACGAGAATGTTGACGACGAAGGAAGGAAGGGAAACGAAAGCTCGTCTCGCAACGCACAAAGGGGGGCTTGCTCACGACAGTCGCGTCGTGGATGTGCGCGAGGCATTCTTGTTTGTTGTGGAAAGGTCGACGACGGTGCTGGTGGTGGTTGTGGTGTTGGTGGTTGTTGTTGTGGTGGTGCTGGTGGTGGTTGTTGTGGTGCTGGTGGTTGTTGTTGTGGTGGTGGTTGTGGTATCAACAACATGAGGACACGACACGCGCACACAGCGAACAGCGTAGCCGCAGCCACCCGCTGCCAAGACCAATATTAACGTAGCAGCCATTTGGTTAATACGACTACTCTGGTTCTCGTCAGCCACTGCCTCGATTGTTAAACGACTGCCGCCGCTGCTGGATTAGCAGATGATGTTTAGTGACAAGAGCACTCCTCGTCAACTGTGAGGAGGAGGAGGAAGAGGGGGGACGACTCCTCCTTTAAACGACGCTAAAATACAAAAGGAGTCCGCTCTGTCTCTCGGATCTTCTGCTGGATAGCCGGGACCAAACTACGGGCTGTGGTTCTAAACGAGGCGCCGCTGGACGAGCGGTGACACCGTGCAGCAACAACAACAACCGGTCGTGACGATGGTGGCGGTGGTGGCGGTGACAACACGCTATCTATCGTGTTATATTTACAACGCTATTGGATTCAAGATACTTTTGAGATTAAATTCGCGTAGGGAGGGAGATGGGGGGGGGGCACGGAAGGGAACCCGGCGCACCGAGCTGGGTCCCCGGTCCGACAAAGGAGGAGGGGGGGGTGAGATGGGGGGGGGCCCCCTAAAAGACATCACTCACGCCACAACGAGCAGCAAGGGGATGGGGATGCGAGCATTTCTGGGGGGGGGGGGTGTTGCTGGTGGGGTTGGGATAGGTGGTGTTGCTTGGTTGTTGTGTGGTGGTGGTTGTTGTTGCGTGTGGTGGGGGTGGTGTTAGGTGAAAGGTACTCACAGCGTGTCTGCTCTGCGGATACATGTCGCGCTGCTGCTGCTGCCTATCGCCAGCAGCTCCGTCTCGGCAGGGGATAACTCCAGTATTCGGCTTCGATGTTCGCGACGGCAAGCACCAACAAATAAATAACAAAAACCACCACCACTACCACCACCAGCAGCAGCACGGCCGCGGGTCTGGCGCTCACAGAATCAGCGCAGAGCGAGCGGCGATGTTCGCGTCCACAACTCCTCTGCCTCTCTCTCTCTCCTTCTCGTCTCTTCCCCCCTGTGCACTTTTCCTCCTCCTCTCCCAAACCTCAGCCTCGTCTGCCTCTCTCGCCAATGATGTCGCTGGCAAACCTCCCCATCCGAGCCGACAACCTCTCTTCTCTCTCTCCGCACCACGGCTACGCTTGGTAGTAACAACACTCCTCTTCGATCCTTTATCTAGCTCTCTCTCTCTCTTACAGGGGAGAAACTTCAGTATGGCAAGCAACCCACAGCGACGCACACAACACGCACGACACAGGCGAGAGAGAAAGCGAGAGACAAGAGGGCGCGCGTAGCTAACACGCGTGCTTAACCACCACCCCCACCACCACCACCCACCACCTCCTCCTCCTCAACAACAAAGAACGGCTTGATTGCTGGACAAAGTAACGAGCGTACACACACATACAAACAAACAACCCTTACACTACTGCCGCTGTGCAGTTACCATTAACACGGCAACAACAACGACGTCGTCACGGCATCATCCGCAGGGCCGACAAGAAGAAGCAGAACTCCGCACACATCACCCCACAACAGTTTTGGAAGCGACGAATCTCTCCAGCCCACTCGCGGACCACCAAACCACCAAGCAAGCAACCGTATAATATATATTTTTTAGTTATTAACAGAGCCACGAGGAGAGAGAGGAGAGAGCGAGTAAAGGAGGGGGAACGCACAAAGAAGGCCGGGTTGAACGGCGGGCAAACGAGACGGGGGTGGGTGGGTGGGTTGGTGGAAAGAAATTAGCCCCAGCCCGACTGTGCTCCTCCGAAGGAAGCAAAAAAAAGCCAGCGGAGCGAGGAGAGAGAGAGGAGAGGGGAGGGGAACGCAAAAAAAAATCAACCTCGCTCCTCCGTCCGGAGGAACGACGCCGCGTGACGTCAGCGCTCATTTTTTTTTGCATGCGAACAGCGGTGGCGGTGCCTGGACGTGAAAGTGGGGGGCAGGGGAGGGGGGTGACGAGGGTCTTGGCTGCTTTGCTTGCTGGTTCGTGAGATTGGGGGGCGGTTGCGGTGGAGGTGGGTGGGGTGGGGGGAAAGGGGTCGCGCCTTCTCTTCCTCCTTTGTATGCAAGCCAATTAAAGGAGCGCCGCCCTGGCCCCCCCACTACGCGAGCCAATTAAAGGAGCGCTTTGCCTCGAGCGCGCGCGGCCCTTACCACCAACCCCTCCCCCTGCCCGCCACGTGGGGCCGTGACGGCAGCCGCAAGCCCCGGCCAATGGAAGAGGCCACGCGGGCGCGCTCCAATCATTAAGCGCGCACACGCTAAGGACGTCATTAAGCCCCGCCTGATTGCCATTAAGGCGTATCTCGGCCACGTCAATCAAAGTAACGTGGGCTCGGCACCACCCATCCCCCTTCACCCCCCTCCACCCCACCCAGCCACCCGCCCCCCACCAGCCTCTCTTCCCCTACCCCCCACATCCTCGCGTTAGCGAACCAATGTAATTGTGGCTAATTAGGAATGATTCCTGCGATCTTGCGCTAATTAGGTTTGATTGTCTTTCCGGAACGGGAGAGTTTTGGGGTTTTTTTTTTGCAGGTGCTGCTGCTGCTCTTGCGGAGAAATGCAACAGAGCGGTGTTTGTGTGCGTGTGTGAGCGCAAACATTATTTACATAAGCGTGAGTGAGTGTCTTGTTGTCGTAAATCCACGGCGGTGTTAGATTTAGCACGGGTGATTGGTACACACTTTATTTAGCCGGGACAAGCACTGTATTTGGCACTTAGGGATTGAAGCGTTTTCGCATCGTGATATCTTGCATTAAAAACAGACGACGGTGCCCTGCGAGTGCGAGGAATTCGTGGTCATTTCGCAAGTCACGGAAACCTCCTCCCCCCCCACCCCCCATCGAGTGAGAACCACGTGGCGCGGACACCGCCCCGTTCTCTTTGTGTGCCATAGCCCAGGGTACAAAGGCGCAGCCCTGCAACTGCTAACTCGTGCCACTGTTGGCGGAAGGGCATACACTAGCGAGAGATCGAGAGGCCCCCTCCCCTCCCCAACTAGAAGTTAGTTGGTCCACTCTTCCACGTTGTACAACACGACTAAAGGGCCGTCCATAAATGACGTCACGTACCTGGGGGGAGGGGGGGATCAGACATTTGTGACGATGTGTGACGAGGGGGGGGGGGTTGAGAAATGTGACGTCACATCAAAATGCGCAACTTTAAATAAATATAGACAACACTTTTTAATAAACGTTTTCTCCTACGACATCAGAGTGCAGCGCCACATTAAATACGCACTACAATGACAATAGTTTAAAGCGATTTGAAGCATGGTTTTTTTTGGGGGGGGGGCAGAGTTTTGTGACATCATATTTGAGGGGGTTCTGTCTTTTTGTGACGCCGTGTGACGAAGAGCGGGGGGGGGGGGTCCAAAATCGTCCAAAATCGCGTGACGTCATTTATGAACGGCCGCCTAAGACGAGAGTTGTGGGAAATACCCACACTTTAGCCCACCACGCGCGACCTGCCGGTTGACTCACCGCGATTGTTATGTTACTGCTGCGTGGGCAGAGCCAGGGGGAAGGGGTGGGGGAGGGTTCAAGACACTTGTCACCATTGTTCGTGCCGGGAGATCTAAGGGGGCGACCTCTGATATTGCAAGCACAGCGTGGCAATCATTAACAACCAACGGCATCTTCCCTCCTCGAATTTGGGGTGGTATCGCCTCTGTTTAAACACAATATATGCATTAACGACACAAAGCGTTGCGCACGTAAATGCTAAGACGCATTAAAATTACAAATGTTTGTTTTCTTCGCCGGCGAGATTAACATACAACTTGTAAAGTTGACACTCAATGCGGGAGGGATTCAGCGCGTGGTGGTTGGTATCTCGTCCTGGCTTGCCGATGCTTCAACGCAGCAGAGGGCTTTCAGTGCGTGGCGAGGTGGCTGGCACCAACGTTGACACCGCGAGAGAGCGACCATTATAGAACGCGTGGCCCTGCTCCTCGCGGGGTGGGACATCGTTGTCTGCTTCCCACACGCGCGCGCGCTCACACGCCACGAAAGTTTAGGCCACAAGTCCCCGTTTATTGCATGCATTTGGGCTGCTCGTATTATAATATATAATCCGTCTCCACGAACGTACACGCTATGCCTCCTCTCCAGTCACATCCGTTATTCTTTACAGAACCACAGACTCGGGCAGTGAAAAGTGAAACACAGACTTACACCGATACACCTCGACTTACAGAGCAACCTAGATACGTACATATTCGAGCCAAGAGTCCCGTTATTGCATGCGGTCGACAGGATTTTCCTTCTCCATGAGCTTCTCTTTTTTATCTTCTGTGCCTCTTCTCTCGTCGCATCCACTATCCTAACATCTCACTCCACCGCAACATCCCATCTTCCCCGTCGGGCTCCCTCTCGCCCTTCTGCCCAGCACCGGTGGCAGCTCCACAGCGCTTCCCGTAGCATTTTCTTCGTCCCTTCTCAACACGTGGCCAAACCATTTGAGTCTCGCCTCCAAATTTCACCTCTCGAAAATTGTAGTAATCCCCGCTAAGGCTATAACTTCTTCATTCCTCCTCCGTTCCCTGAGAGATGTACCCAGCATCCAACGCAGCACTGTCATCTGAAATGTTATACACCTATAGCAGGGGACGGTGTTTCATAATGTAAACCTTCAGCACGTTAGTCCAGCCCCTGATGAATGAGGGCCACCCAAAGCTAGATCGTTGGTGAAGGCAGGGAATATAGACAGCGGGAGTACCTGTATAACAATGTCCTTCCCTTGCACTTCCGATTTGCACGGTCGGCTGCGAAAGAAGTTCAACATATAGTACATTCAACAATGTATTTTCTGCGCTACTCATTGCTGGCCACCACGAGGCGACTAACCACCCCCACCCAACCTGTAAGAACTTGCTGTGTGTGGTGGTCGCCCATCCAAGTACTGTCCAGGGTCAAGCCTGCTTAGCTACCGAGATATGTCGAGAATGGGGGCATTCCGGGGCACATGGTGAAAGGAAGTGGCATCTTGTCAACACAACCAAAACACGTGAATTCACTTGGCGTTTTTGGAGTTTGAGCCAAGTCAGCGTACCTATTTCGCCCCTGTATCATGCTTGGAATTCCACCAAGGTCTCCTTTATCTTTAATCCTCGAGAGAAAAAAATGCGTGTTTATTTGCGCTGTTGGGTATACCGTATAGGAAAAAGGTACAGCCCTGCAATCTATTGCTCACACGACTGCTGGTAAATCTTGACTTAAAGCTTTCGTGACTGCAGGAATACATATTCTATGGGTCTTTCGGTAAAGCCACGTAGGTAGAAAAAAGCTGTATTTTTTCACCTGAAGACGATTGCGATCGAAACATCGTGATATTTTTTATTCTTTTTCTATCTACGTGGCTTTACCGAAAGACCCATAGAATATGACTGCTGGTAAGTTGGGCCTCCGAGAGGGGGAGCACCAGGGACCCTCTCTAGCGGGTATATGTTTTTTTAAATTACCCATCCATACTGCTTACACGTCGGTGCACCCTTTAATGTCGCCGAGTGGACAGAAACCTGTTCAGTCAGTGTGCTTGCTATTCGTCACACCACGGCAGCATCCGTGGGGTATGCGTTGTCAAGTTTGGTTTTGCATTGTTGTTCGCCCCCGCGTTGTGCTTCGCTCGCTTCTAAATACCGTACACCATCCAATTCGTGAGCACTCGCCTGAGCAATAATTCACTGAGGGCTTTCGCTTAAATGTTTTGTGTTTTGACATTACACCGCGCTTGCAGAGGGCATGTTCAACACATTCAGAGGGGCTGTACGCTGCCTGCGACTTATATAAATTATATATTTTTTTTTAAACAGAGTTTGTGCTGAAGTATTTGTATTTATGCGTTTCAACTACTGTGGAAAACGTCTTAAGCATCATTATTTATAACTGCCCATTCGTACGTGAAAAGGGGGAGGGGTCACTATAAATATCTTGAAGATGATCGAATATAAACAAAATTTCAGTGTAAAGTCTTGTTGCTAGTGTGGGCAGTCCCGATCGAAAACTGGCCAAATTCATAATCGAAATGCCTATATCTCCGAGACACAAACCAGAGCAAGAAGGACTACATGTACAGTATTTGCAAATATGTAACACATTTAGCTCTGACCCTAACCCACCGACTCCCCGTGCCATTCTGTTAATGAAATACTTTCGAGGATAGACGCATGTTCAAAAGCGTTACATAATCCATAATACTCTATATGCGAATGCGGGGATTACTTCGCGCGTCGGGGATGCCCGATGGTCAAGAATACGCCAGAGTGGCAATCAAAGAATGGAATGCGTCCAAAAACGTGCGTACAACCATGGGGAAGGAGCGATGCAATCAATTCCATGTGCAGATGGACTGGTATTACATTGCATGTTCGTGAGAGGAGGTGGCGGGTCGGGGAGGCCTTCATCCAGCAAATCATTGACCATGGCTGCTGATGATGATGATGAGGAATACTTTTTACCAAACTCGTTTCATTGAGGTCCCAATACCCCGTGATGGCGTGCCACGGAGGGCGTGCGAGTAAGCACGCCACGCGGTCATCTCATCTCGAGAGGTTGCGATCCCTGGCGGTGCCGATGGCGACAGAGTGGTGGAAAATTACAGCTCGCTCGCTAACGTAGACTCCTTGTCTCGAGAGTTGGCGGCTCCAGACGCTTCTGGCGGTTTGTGAACAGCGCTTAATTGTTGCCTCTGTAGAGCAACAATGGGCAAGTCGAGTGACTTTCTAGCGCCACCTACTGATCAGTGAGACCGAACCCACGCGGTCCGTATGGGGTTGGCACATGGAAATCTGCAACTTGTTTTTGTTGTTGGTGGTGATGGTTGTTGTTGCCAGGGCTTCATTCATTCAACCGCAGCTGTCCAGGGCTGCGCTCCGGAAAGTATATTCTCCCTGTAGACTGTTGGCGGTGGGAGGCACCGGGGGTTCAGGCGTTGAGTCAGTTGAACACTTAG